CAGACAAGCTTTCAGCATTTCGTCATCTCCATTTGCCACCATGCGGCGTTCGCTGCACAGACACATGAGGCCAGTGCAGCAAACGGAACAGGATCGTTGCCTTTGCCCCTCGATGCCTCCGCCCTGCTGACCACATATTGGATTTGCTCGTTCGCCAATAACCAGTGTCTTATCGGTGGTTAGCAGGGAATGCAGGAATGCAGCATGGGGATGAGTAGTGGGGATTATTTGATTAAGAGTTTCCGCAGGCATCCATTCCGTCAGTCCCTGCAACCCACTTTAAGGTGGGACATCGAGAACGAGCTCGGTGAAACCATCGAGGACAGCCCATTTGCCAAGGCGTTGCGCGGGAACATCCGCGGGGTGGTCATGGTCCTGGACCCCGGCGTCCTGCCCCTTACCCGCCTCTCGGATTTCATATGACTTGATGAAAAAAACATGTGGATGTTTTGTTAATATGATCCCGATTGAATCCTATTGCTGGACTTCTGCTTTTTTCTTCCCTCAAGTTTCCACAAAACAGGGATCCCGAGTAAAGCCCAGTAAATGTGAATAGCTATTACATGGACTTCTGACAAGAAAGCCCTCTAGATCCCTGCATGTCCCCTGTTCCCCTTAAACCCTAAGCTCTCAAACCTATTCCCCTTCATGGGGGCTCGCCATTTCCTGCACATCAACAAGCACACCTAAAGGAACCCCCAGTGCTGACTTGAGGGTTATGCGTTCAAGGTATAGGGTTTGGGGGATGTAAGATTTAGGGTTTTGGGCTTTAAGGTTTCAGGTTTGGGGGTTTAGGGGTTTAGGGTTCGAGGGGGTAAACTTGGTTTCCTCACCAGGTAGGTTCAAGGACCATGGAGGACCCAAGTGCCTCCCCAACAAGGCTTGTTGATAAATAGGAAGTACGGGGCCCCCTTTGAAGGAGAGTGGGGATATCTTGGGTTTTAAGCCTTAAGCCCAAATCCTAAACCCTAAACCTTAAACCCTAAACCCTCGACCCTAAGCCCTAAACCTTAAACCCTAAACAATTGTACCCTATCGTCTACGGTTTGCAGGCTTTACGTAGTGGTTGCTGTGAACGGATAGATTTGGCTTATTGCAAAGTTGGGTCCTTTTTCATTTCCGCCCAAGAACATTCCTTTACATCGGTAACCCAGACCCCTGATTAGTAAACCGCCTCCCCTCAATAGGGAGTATAATCGGGATCCCAATATTCAGGCCCTTAAAATGAGGGGGTTTATTACTTTGATGAGGGGGTTTATTGATCATGAGTCTACATTGCCTCCAAAACGGACCCTGGACTTGTGGCCTCCGATCCCCAGCCAGTTTGCAGTGAGGAGTGTGGTGCTTGTTCGAGGTGCTGCTGACGAGTCTTGGACCATGGTTTGGGGTTTAGGATTTAGGATTTAGGGTTTAGGATTTAGGGTTTAGGGTTAAGGGTTTAGGGTTTGGGGTTTAGGGTTTGGGGTTTAGGGTTTAGGCAAGTTATAAGATATAACCGGGTAGTAACGGGTAGTATCCTAATAGCTTCGTAAGGTACAAGAAGGGGAAAGCTTAACATGTGTGATAGCTATTCTAGCTATCTTCATAGGTAGCACTAGTGTTTTGTGATGTGACTACCTAGGTTCTTCAGCTCCTGTTTTCGGAGGTTACCCTAAACCTTCAACCGAAAACCCGAAACCCTAGCCATTAAACCTGAAACCTTTCACCCAAAACCCAAAAACCCTAAACCCTAAACCCTAAACCCATTAAACCCTAAGCCCTGGGGCCAGACGGAACCATCTTGGCAACATGGTTTAGCGCTTCGAAGTTTACCTGAAAAGCCTCGTGCCCCCACCCTCCCTCAGGGTTGAGGGTTTAGGGTGCAGGGTTTGGGGTTTAGGGTTTAGCGCTTAGGCTTTAGGCTTTAGGGTTAAGGGTTTAGGGTTTGGGGTTTAGGGTTTAGAGTTTATGGGTTTAGAGTGTAGGAAGTTGGTGGACAATGGGCTTTACTGATTGGCTGCCGGCTTTTTTGTGTGGGGTTCAGGGTGGGTATAAACCCTAAACCTGCCTGTAAGAATTCTAGCAGCAGATGTTCAGTTAGGTTCTAAGTGTCACCTCACACCCCCCATAGAAATCAATGCATCGTAATCTCAACGTCTGCCTTTTTAAAAGATAGGTTATCCAAATTGGGGTTCAGAACCACCAGGGGTATCATAGGGGTAATAGGGGTTATTAACCTACTTACGAAGTCCCAAAGATCCAAATTGGGGTTGTAGAATGTCAAGTACGAGATCTTGAGTTCTCTTGGTTTCAGGCAAGGCCGACTGCTTACGGTACCTGCCTTGCACGTTTACAGGAAAAAGGTACCTAGGGAACGTCTTTTTAGTATAAGGGATAGGGTTAGGGTGGGATGGTCAGGGTGTCTAACTAGGGTTGTCTATCCCCCCTGAATCCCAAATCGCAAGCCTCAAATTCCTAAACCCTACATTCGAAACCCTAAATCCAAAAGCCTACACCCTAAGCCCTAAA